GCGGCATGGGCTTCGAGACGGGCCGCGAGCTCGTCGGCGTGCCCATCACGCCCGCGCGGCTGCGGACGGCCGTGCTGGGCGTCGTGCTGGACCTGTCCAAGCCCCACAACGTCGTCTACACCTGCGTCCACTGGCTCAAGATCCTGCGGGCGCACGTCGCCGCGACGCTCGACGAGCTCAGGCGCGACAACAAGGGCAAGACGGCCGACGGCCTCGCGGAGCAGGCCCGGGCGCGCTTCGCCGAGCGCAAGCCGGACAAGAAGGGCGACAAGCCCGGCGAGCACCCGGACCGGCGCACGGTGGACCCGAGCCCCGTGCCGATTTTGATCGTCGCGAACAAGTGGGACGTGCTCGGCGAGGAGGGCAACGACCTCGGCAAGGACCGCCTCGCGCTCAAGGCTTTGTGCCAGGTGCTGCGCTTCCTCGCCCACCAGCACGGCGCGACGCTCGTCTTCACGTCGTCCAAGGACGCGGCGCTCACGAAGACGTTCCGGAACCTGCTGTCCTACGCGCTCTTCCACAAGGTCGACAAGAGCTACCGCGTCGAGAAGAACGCGGACAAGCCCCTCTACGTGCCCCCGGGCGGCGACACCTTCGACGAGCTCGTCTCCGCGGGCCCCGTCGACCTCGGGGGCCTCAACCGGAAGGAGCTGTCCGACGACGCCTACGACTCGCTCGTCGAGGCCGTCGCCAAGTACTACGGCGAGCCCGACGCGGACATCGTCCGGAAAAAATCGAAGAAGGACGGCGCCTTCGACGTCGACGAGGGCAAGAGCGACGCGCCCGACGAGTTCGCGGAGAAGCTCATCGACGACATCTACGCCGCGAAGATGGACGACCTCGAGAAGTACCGGAAGAAGATGCAGCTCAAGGAGCGCGAGATCGAGCTCGACAAGAAGCGCCGCGAGAAGAAGAAGAAGGAGGCCGCGGCCAAGGCCGCGAAGGACGCCGCCGCGCCCGCGGCCAAGCCCAAGGCGCGGAGCGAGTCGAAGCGCGACGGCGACGCGCGCCGCGGCGGCGGCGAGAACAAGGCCGAGGCCAAGGGCGAGTCGAAGAACTCGGCGCAGTAGGCGCCGGGGAACTTCTAAACGGTGTTAGCAGATGCGGCCGAGGTACTCCGCGCGCGGGTACCGGTCGCGCAGCCGGGGCCAGTGGACGACGAAGCGGTGGGCGACGGGGTAGAGGAGCCGGCCGGAGAGCGACAGGCTCTCGACGCGGCACCAGCTCTCGACGAAGATGAGCCGCGCGCCCGCGGCGACGCCGAGCGCCGCGACGGGCACGCACGTCCCCGGACCGTTGCAGAGCACGAGCCGCGGCCGCGCGCGGTGGACGACCGCCGCGGCGGCACACAGCGCGCGGAGCGTCGTCGGCACGGCCGCCACAAAGGGCTGGCCGACCTCGCGCGCGCGCGGGATCGTGGCCCACGTCGCGTCGAGGTCCGATGGCAGCATGCCCGCGGCCTTGGCCGCGCTCGTCGTGTCCGACGCCGCGACGACGAGCGTCACGGGGCCGTAGCGCGACGCGTCAAGGCCGCCGAGGAGCCGCAGCATCTCCGTCGTGTGGCCGCCGCTCCCGAGGACGACGAGCGTCGGCACGCGGCCGTCGCCGGCGGCGCGCGGCGCGGCGTGGAAGTAGAACGTGAGCAAGAGGAAGCACGCGAGAGCGGCGGCGGCGGCGGCGCCGTCGATCATGCGCTCCGCATACGCATGCCACAGGGCCTCGTTCAACATTTTGTTACTCCTCACTTGCTCGATGCGACGCTATGCGCAGGACGCATTGCCACACTGGGTTGGTTCACCATCACCTTCACCTTCAAAATCGACTGATCATGATCTCCGGCGCTAGCTCTCCGAAAGCTTGAGCCATGGGCGGCGTGTCCGTGGAGGTGCGGCCGTCGACGGGCATGAGCGCGGCGACGTCGCGGCCGTCGACGGGCCTGCATTCCAGCGGGTCCCACAACCGGAGCTCGAGCAGCGGCGGCATCCCGCACTCCATCCGGCTGCCGCCGCGCTACGTCGCCGAGGCGGCGCGGGCCGAGGCGCGCATGGAGACGCGGGCCGTGGACCCGGAGGCGATCCGGCGGGCCTTCCAGGTCTGGGACAGCGACGACGACGGGCGCATCGACGTCGACGACCTCAAGTCCTTCGTGGTTAGGACCGCGCTCCAGGCGCCCGTCGGAGGCTGGGACGCGTACCTCGAGGCCATGGTCGCGGAGGCCCTGCGGCGCACGGGCTTCGCGGCGCCCGTGGGCCACGGCGCGTCGTCGAGCGTCCTGGTCATGACCGTGCCCGACGTCCAGGCGGCGTCGTCGTTCCGCGTGCACCCGACGAGCCGCGAGTTCGTCGGGCGTCCCTACCGCGACGCGTGGATCACCTTGGTGCGCTCCGCGCTGCCCCCGGCCGACGCGGCCATCTTCGAGCCGCCGCACCCGGGCGACGCCATGTACGCGCCGCCCATCATGACGAACCGCGAGCGCCGCGCGGTGGAGCGGTCCGTCGCGGGCGCGTCGCGGCTGCTGGGCGGCACGCGGACGTCGCGGTCCGCGCCGAGCCTCTTCGGGCCCGACGCGTCGGTCCTGTCGACGGGCACGCCCCTGGGCGAGAGCGGCTTGTTCCGGGGCATTCTTACTTCTTCCGGCTCCACGCTGCGGCCGCGGACGACGGGCGGCGGCGGCGCGGTCCGCGTGGACGGCCGCCGCGCGCGGAACCGCGCGGACGGCCGCCAGTACAGCGTCCCCACGGCCGTCGACCCCCACATCGACCTCGCCCACGCCCTCGAGGCGCGCCTCTGCGGCGACGAGAGCGACGGGAGCGAGCCGCGGCTCGACGCGGGCGCCGAGGGCTCGTACTGCGCGTTCGGTTCGCACCAGGGCAGCAAAAGAGAGCGAAATTCCCAACTTCAAAGGCTCCTATCTCGGCCGTTTTCCACTCGTTTCGGCTGATTTTTGGACGAGCGATCATCTCTCGGAACGGTCTCGAAGCGTAGATGCTTTTTCCGGAACGCGCGCGCGCGGAACACTCACGTTGAAGCGACGTTGAATCACCCTTTTGCTGCCCAGGGTCGCGCGCGGCGCACGAGAAGCTCACGCGCCAGATCGAGACCTGGTCGAAGAAGGACCTCGCCGCCGGCGACGGCGCTTCCGAGGACGCCGACGGATCCAAAGTTGCGGACGCGCCGCGGGCCGCCGAGGTCGTCGCCGGAAGGCTCGCGCAGCCCCGGTGGAACGCGCACCCCAAGTTCAAGTACGCGGAGCCGCTGTCGACGAACGCGCGTTTGGACTCCACGGCCAGCGGCCTCTCCCAGACGGCCCGCGACGCGCGCGAGCTCCACGCGCGCATGGCCCTCGAGGGCCACTCCGCGGCGAATTTGGAGGAGCAGCGGCGGCTCATGGCGTCGGACAACATGCAGGTCACGCTCATCCGCGGCAACGTCGACGTGCTCTTCACGAAGCGCGACGGCGACGACGACTACTGCTACCACTGGCGCACGGAGTCCAAGCACGAGCACATGGTCCGCATGTCCAAGTGGGGCACGCGCCACATGCTCGGCAAGTCGCGGCAGGCGTGCTTCACGCTCGACGAGGTGCTGCCCTACACGCACACGACGCGCAACGACGACCCCAGCGGCTACGACCGCCGCAGCCGCCTGGTGACGGAGTACGAGAAGACGACCGTGCGCTCGCCCTTCGCGCTCTACATGCCCAAGGCCCAGGCGCCGCCGCTCACGTCCGCGCTGGGATCGAACACCGCGTCCATCAACTTCGTCAAGCTCGCCAACGAGGGCTCCATCGCCTACGACCGCGTCGCCATCCACCCGACCTACTCCAAGCACCGCCACAAGAAGAAGCCGGGCAAGGGGGCCTAGGTCGTCAGGGGCGAGGTAATAGCACGTTCGCACCTCGGGCCGGTTTGGCGAGCCCCCAAACTGGCAATTCTGTCAGCAGCAGGCGGCGATTTTTCGCCCGTCTGCCCTGCGAACCGAGCGTCGCCCCCGCGACCCGACGCGATGGTTTGGTACTCGTCGTTCAAGTATGAGCCGCACATGGATGCATCGCCGCCGCGTTTTGTTCAAAACGGCATGCTGTTCATCCCCCACGACGACGAGCCCGAGGACGACGACGGGGGCGGCGATGGGAGTTTGATGGCGGCGATGATGCAAGAGTCTGCCTTGCGCAAGCACTTCCCAGTGGTCACGACGCGCGCGGAGCCGGGCCAGTCGGCTACCGAGGCGTTCGCGGCGTCCGCGCTCGGAAACAAGCCGAAGGGCGACGACGGCTGGCGCGGCCCCTGCGCGGTCTGCGGAATCGAGTCCAAGCTCCGATGCATGGGCTGCCGCGAGAAGACCATGGACTACCACGGGCCCTACTACTGCGGCAAGGAGCACCAGACCCGCGACTGGAAAATCGGCGGCCACAAGAAAAAGTGCCTGAAACGGACCGGCGAGGCGGGCCTCGACGCCGCGGACATCGTCTTCTCGCTCGACGGCGACCACCGCGTCGCGGCCAAGAAGGGCGACGACCCGCGTGCGCTCACGGCGAAGGACCTGGACGGCCTGGTCTACGCGCGGTCCAACGGAACGATCGGCGGCTCGAAGCGCGCGGGTCAGACGATCACTCGCGTGAATCTGCTCACGGTCGTCGAATTGGACTTGCCGTGCGAGAACTGGGACGGCTACAAGGGCGTCGACGTGGCCAACGTGACTCTGGAAAGCGGGATCGGTGTAAAGGACACGATGTTCGGAAGCGCCGCCTGCGAGACGTGGAAGACGCGCGACGGGAAACCCCTGCGAGTCCGCGACCTCGTCGACCTCGTCATGCTGCGCTTCCGCACCAAGCTGCCTTGTCACAAGAGCAACATATACTGTGACAAGACTCGCGTGACCGTGCTAGACACCAAAACCCTCAAGCAACGCGGCGCCGACGGCCGCACCTTCAAGCTCATGGCGCACATCGCTCCGGTCCCCGGGACGACCTACCTCACGTACTAGGAGAGATCCTGTTTGCTTCGTAACCCATTTACACTTTCGTACCAGGTCTGTTGATATTATTATTATTATTATGGGAGCTTTAACGTGGGAAACACGCGACAAACCAACGCATCTGCGCGAACTGCCGCGCCTCCGAAAGCAAGAAAAACCCCAAGTTCATGACCTGCGCGCGCTGCAAGGCGGCCCTGTACTGCTCCGCCGAGTGCCAGAAGGCTCATTGGAAGCGCCACAAGGGCTGCTGCGTGGCGCCGCGCGCGCCGGCGACGGCGTGATCCCTCCCCGGCGTAAGGTCGCTTAGGCCGGAACCATCACGAGTGTTGTGACGCGGTGCCAGTGCAACGAGCCAAGTTGGACTACTTATAGAAGGGGATGCGCGCCCGATTGGTTCCCCGGGCCGGGGAGAAGTTCAAGTTTGCCGAAAGTTTACCCTAGAGAGCAGTGTTGAACGCATGCCCAAAACGAAACCAGCGTTGGGCTGCCATCCTGCGCCGCCATGATGTCCCACCTGCTCCTCGCACTCTTCCTCGTCCCGGCGGTTGCCGACGACGACTGCACGCAAGCCTATAATTATTTCTATTGCGACTACAACACGGTCATGTACGGCTCCGACTGTACCTCGTGCGACTCGTGTACGCCATCCGACGTGCTCAGCAACGCTCCGTACGGGTACACGTGCGATAGCAGCACAGGCAAGTACAGCACGGACGGTGGTGCGACCGAATACGACATCGCCGTGTGCGACGGCGCGGACCCAGGAGACTATTTTTACGCCGACTGCGGGTGTACGTACGAAGACTGCTCCGACGACGACGACGACGACGACGACGACGACTGCACGATGGCGTATAATTGGTTCTACTGCGAGGGCGACACGGTCATGTACGGATCGGACTGCACGTCGTGCGACTCGTGCACGCCGTCCAGCGTGCTCTCCGATAGCTACGGGTACACGTGCGACAGCAGCGCGGGAACGTACTCGGCGCCCGGGGTAGACGGGTATTGCATCACCGTGTGTGATGGCTCGGACGACGCCTACTGCGGGTGCACGTACGAAGACTGCTCCGACGACGACGACACGGACCCGACGAGCGGCTGCACCGGCGTCGACGGCTCTCTGGACGGCGCGACGGCTAAGGCCGCCGCGTCGGGCCTCGTCGCCGCCGGGGATCGTCGCGCCCTTTCTTTGAGGAGCCACCCCCGCGCGTCCGCCGCGAGGCGCGTCCGCCGCGAGGCGCGTCCGCCGCGAGGCGCGTCCGCCCCCGCCGTCCGCCGTCCGCGCGTCCGCTGTCCGCCAAAAACCCTAAGTCGTACCCCCGGCGCGGCCCCGCGCGAGGCGGCAGCGCGCGGCGACGCTCGGCTCCCGGGGCCGGGGCGGCTGGTTGAAGGAGTCGCTCGCGCGGTCGCCGTTGGGCCAGAACTGCGCGGGGGGCGGGGCTCGCGCGCGGCGCGGCGCGCGGGACCCGGGCGCGCGTGCGGCGTAGTTGCCCTTGGCGAGGTCGCTGGTCACGAAGGGGTGGATCGCGTGGCTGCGCTGGACCTCGCGCGCGGCGGCGGCGGCCTCGGGCAGGACCGACCCCGCGTAGGTCGCGAGGCCGCCGGCGAGGCCGTAGGCGGTGTCGTCGTCGACGCCCGCGAGGTCGAGGAGCCGCGCGGGGCACGACGGCGTCGCGAGCGCCTCCTTGATCGCGCGGCCCGGAACAGCCCGCGCCGCGTGGACCGCGCGACGGCGCCCGAGAG